GTTCTTGCCTCCAAGGGTCGAATCTATATTTCAAATCTATCCTCCATTCTTCAAAATAGGTTTAGGACCCCTTTTATACAAGTTGGAATAGTGTAGGGCCGAAATAAACTTGTCCCGGACGAAATAGGACTTCTTTTTGACGCCTGGAGGGGCGCGGCCGCGGTCAAAACGCGGTAGGACCGCGGCCAGACAAGCTCTCTGATTTCTGCCGCGGTCGCGGTTTCGACCGCATTTTTCACCCTGTTCCGTTTGAAATTTGGAAAAACGTAAAACATGAAAGTTGTATCCCTTTGAATTATCTTTCCAACCATATATTGTGGAGCCCAAATGGAGTTCTGAGCAAAAAGTTATGTCTATTTTACTAGACAATGCGCAATATGTCTCCTCAAGTCTTCGTTCGTACTTAATTATCAAATTTGACCCCCGAACACGATCCCGGCTTAATTCCTTGAGCTTTTACTCATACTTCAAAGCTTCAAATCACTTAAATTCATTCCATAACATCTATATAGCTCGGAATCACACCTACAAGGCATAAAACACACAATTAGTGCAAAACACTAGCGATTAAAGCGCAAACTCAATTAAAGTGCAGTAAATTCGAGTGTAATAAGCGACTAAAATACGTAATTATAGCCTATCATCAGTTGATATATTGCCTTTCCACACATTTCAGTGAATTAAATATTTCTCTTGCAAAATTTGAAGCTTATCAGTATTAGCAAAAATGGCTTATTAAAAGAAATTTACTGTGATTAATTATTTGGGTTGGCTTGCCTAGTATTATGATAGGCGCCATCACGATCGGGTATTTGGGGCCGTGACACTTAATTAGCATTAGGGGTGTTCAAACCGAACCGAAAAATCGCATCAAACCAAAAAGTCAAACCAAACCGATTAAAAAACCCGATTAGGTTTGGTTTGATTTGGTTTGGTGTTGAGTAAAAAAAACCCGAACCAAACCGACATATAAATATATAATTTTTATATATACTTTTAAGACTTTATATAGGATTTTCTATATAAAAAAAATATCTAGAAATATTTGAGATCCTCTCATGGGATGTAATATTTCATAGAATTATGAAGTGCATTTATTTTTATTTACTTTAAATAGTGGGTTGTATCACTTTTTAATCGAGTGTTATTGAAATGTGTCAATCATCTCTTTGTTCTTCCATATTCATATATCAAGATTTCTCATATCTTTTTCGAATTTGAAATGGTATTTCGATAATTTAGAATTAAATAGAACATATTATTATTTTGGTATCATATTGATTTTTATGTTTAATTATTATATTACCTTGAAAGCATACATAAAAAAAGTTATTGTTAGACGACTAAGAAAATAACTACCATGTGTTGCTAAAAATAATTCTCCCATATGAATAGTTTAATAGATCATATGTTTGCCAATTTTTACTAAATATATGTCCGCTTATCAAAACTTTATCTATAACTTTGACAAAGTAAGATTAAAATAATATTTATTTAATAAAAAAATCTGAAAAACCCAACAAAACCCCAATGTTGATGTAGTTGAGCGCATTGGTCCTCACTCCAAGTATTTTTCCACATTGTGTTTAGATGATGATATGGAAATAGAGTCGTCCGAGCCATTTGAGGAGTCAAGGATTGAGGAACAAAGTGCTTACATTC